TAGGAGAGGGAGATACCTTGCTTTTCTGTTGCCATGAATGCTTTCTTAGCATGACGATGTTCTGAAAGTCTCTGAAGAATGAAGAGTTGATTTGGAAAGTCTTTTCCCCATGGGGACAGCCAAGCAGTGGAGCTGGGGCCCAGAGAGTTTGGGCTGTCTCCACCTTGAGGGGTTTCAAGCCCTGACTTTGTAAACCCCTGAGCAGCCAAGTCTGATCCCATGGCCAAGCCTTCCCTGGGCAGGGACTGGTATGGGAGACCTCCCCAGGTCCCCACCAGACTGGGGCATCCTGTGATTCTATGATTTTCAGGAGTACAACCATTGCTTCAAGTTTGTGTTGCCAGGTGGCAATGTAATCCTGAAGGATGACAGTCTGGGAGGGAGTTGTGGTTCTTGTTCATGGTAGTGACTGTCGGTTGTCAAGTCAGGTGCTGCATAGGTATGTGAAGGCTTGAACAGCATCAATCTGATACTTATGTGGTGCCCTATCTCTCTGGTCCTTTATCCTCCCCCACACCCAAATCATAGACTATCAAAGAACAAGGGTGTGTTTACATGCTGGTGAATGATTAAATTAGTGGCTGTCAGCTGAGATTAACTGAGCCCAAAGGCTGTCTCCTAGCCTGTGGCAAATGAAAAGTGAAATGTGTTCATTGAAACTCCGAGGATGTTTATTTGATTAGTATGACACCTGTGGAGAATCTGCTTATTTCTAAGACATGGCTCAAGGAAGTATTTTTTCTTTTTACAGATTCTGCCTCTATTTGTTTTTAAGGCCTTCAGTGTTATGCTAATGCAGAGAGCCTTAAAAGCAGAATTCCTTGTACAGTATGGGGCAAAAGGGGCTATAGCATAACTTACTTTTTAAACACAGTATCCTTTCTCATCAGCTGAAAATGAAAGATTAGACTACTGAGATTAGACTACTAAAAATCCCTCAGAAAGTTGGTGAACAGCAGTGTGACTTTCTTGGCTTTGCTGGGGTGTGCATCCTTCCTGCTGCTGCTTGTCAAAGCCAAGGTGGTGCAGAGAGAGAGAGCATCTTGTCCCTCACTGGATGGCAAACCATCAGCTTTTTTTTGTTTTCCCCCTCTGCTTTACGAAGCCAAGAGAGATGTATCATGGCAAGCACCTTTCTCCTAGTGTATGGTGGGGGAAATGGATGTTTTTTTCTCACCAGCAGCAGGCCCCAACAGTCAGTTTTACTTAACCCTGACTGCAGTGAGGGTTGCCTGCATTCACATGCTCATTGGGATTGACCCCTAGACATGAAAACACAGGAAACAATTCAGTATAAAACATACCACCTTCTTGACTCGTGCTTTCATACCATCTTCTAAAAGAAAGAGTCATTTGAGATAAGGAGTTTGAATGTCCTGGTGGAAGCCATGCTGAATCATGATAAATTATACATGAAGTGTATCAGGGTTACATAAATATCTACCAGATAAGAGCAACGGCTGGCTTGAACCATTAGCATGTAAACTGTTCATCCATCGGGCAATAACTTATCAAGGCATCAGCCCCTGACTGTTGGAGTAGTCCGCACCAAGAATAGCAGAGCAGAAGATACACTCACCATAGTTGTGAGGTGCATATGAAAGCCATTTTGTGGAAATGGTATGTGTAGGTGAGCTTTTGCTCTGTAGCAAATAAGGATAAGTACTTCTGAATTCTGCATGGAAGAATTTTTTCAATAAAAGCATGTTGACAGTAAGATTTGAGAAGGAGGCTTTTAAAGCAAACAGACAAACAAACAAACACCAACAAAGAAAAAGAATAAACTAAGGGAACCTACAGTTGGGAGCTACCTAAATGAAAATTGCAGTTTCACCCCATTTACATGATGGGATATGATTTGCTATTAGTTGTATAGCTTTGCTTACGTCTTCTACCTTAGGGAGTATTTTTTTTTTAAATGTGCACAGAATTATTTGGTGGGAAAATTGAATGCAAAGTCAGCTAGACAGACAATGAGTCTGGTTTATGTCTTTCTCCATCGCACTGGAAGAAAAGCCTGCAATTTTTAAACCCAGGGCTCATGTTGTTAATTAATGATCTTGTGCAGATGAAGACAAAGAAAGATTTAAAGGGTCTTAACATGTCTTTTGCTTCCTTAGTTTCTGTGGCTTTCCAAAAATGCCTCTTATGCCCTGTTTTAGAAGAGCATTGCTCCAATGTCTCTTTTCATTCAATGTTCTGCTTATAAATTAAGTTATTCATACAATTTATTCCTATAATGATTGTGAATCTCTTGTACTTCGTAAGACTATTTGCATCCAATCAAATCAGGAGAGTGCTTTATGATCACTGACACTGATAAGACAATTGGATTGTCACAGGCCATCTCAGGTCTGTGTCTTTTATCCTGAGAATGAGATGCTTCTGTGTGCTTTAAGTGCAGGGTTACATAGGTTGATAGTCTCATACGGAGTACAGTTCTTTGCTTTCTCAACTGCTTTAAGTGAAGGGTTAGAGAGGTTGCTTCTCATATTCAGCTTACAATAGTTCTTTGCTTTCTCAAGATCATTGAGATGCTGCTGGCCAATATGTTAGTGGCATCTACTACTCAAAACACCGTGTGAGAATCAATCTGTAAAAATCGTGATTGATAAGTAGTTAACATAAAACAAAGCTAAGTCTGACTGGCAAATTATAATAACTAGCCAACTGCTTATCCCTATAACTGGGAAATTCTTCGCTAAGTTTATCTTATTATAATATGAAAAAGAATTGTTTAAATTGCCATCAATCTTTAAATCCTGGTTCCAGAGAGTGGCCATGTTGACAATGAGAAAGTAGGAGTAAAGGCAAATTGCTGTGCAAGAGCTAGAAAATATTTGTCACTTTGCACATCTTTTTAGTGAATTTTAACAGGAGAAAACTTCAAAGGCTATTTTCTGGTAGGCCTCATTAATCCAGTTTCAAATCTCTGTGTTCCTCAAGCTACGCTGTTCAAGCTTTCTTGGGTGCATCTGCTACCAAATTGACACTTCATTTAGCCACACATCTGCAGCAGTCTTACATTTGGGCCATTGCTGTGTAAAATTAATCCTCTCTGATAATCTTAATTTAAATAATAGTCTATATGATTTGCAGAAGTAGAGAATGCCTTGTGGAAGAGTATTAAAGTTCACCCCCTGCAGGGTGAACCTTCCCATTGCAACACAGGGAAAAGGACGTTTGTCCATATAAAGGTCCATATGCAGAGAAGCATTATATTTTTAGCCTTTCTTGTAGCTGGTTGAGCTTTCAAATGAACTTGATTTTATTTTTTAAAGGGATGTACTGTATCTTATAATGAAAAGAAACAGACATACTGAATGGCCACCTATCGTACTGTACAATGGGACTCTTTAAGAGTACCCAAGTGCCCAAACTTGGATGTGCAGGCTGTGACTGGGAGGCCTGCCCCTCATTCTTCCTACCCAGGGTTGAAGAAGATAGAGGAAATTTCATCTGAAATTCACTATCCAATGTCTATTTTATTGTGTGCAAGAGTGATTTCATTCAGTATTGAAAAATTCAGCTCTGTTTTTAATACCATTTGAACTGGGTTTCACATGTGCCTTGGTCTTCCAGTACTCTGGTAGATCCCCAGATGCTTGTCTTCTGTGACAACCATCATTCAGATGAATTCGGCAGAACTTGAACTATAAAATGGATTTCCATCTCAGATAATATCTTCTGTAGAAACAGGCTTGTGTTAACCTGCTTGAGAAACGTGTGTCAAGCCGTGTTTGCTAAGCTATATAACACGGTAACACGGTAACAGATTTCAATGAATTTCATGTAGCAGGTGGAGGGAATCTTTAATTCTAGGTTGAGGGCTACATTGGTTTTAAGAAAAAGTGATGGAGATTGAAGGACAAGTATTTATTGATACGTACTTTTCTCCTTTTCTATCTTTTTTCTCTTTAATTTGGACACTGTAAGCAGCAATGCATTCAAGAACTCTGACTTTCCTCTGGAGTCCATTTGGCAGTAGCAATTTCTATAGTACTATGACGGAATCTTCTGGTGGTCCTATGCCACTAACAAGCACTGCTATATTTTAAAAAAAGGATATTTTTTATTTGTACTGTAAAACTGCTCTGCGCCATTTTAGATACCTATATACAGAACAAATAGTTGAGCTTCATTTAATTTCTCACTCTCTCTGCATAAAAGAGTGCCTGTCATATCTTACTTTGTTAATAACAACTTCTTGCAGTGGAGCAGAGTTTTGTTATATTATTGGTGTGGGAACACAACAAAAAGTAGCTAGTTTTAAAAACAAATGCTTTTATGAATAAAGATATCATTATTATTTAGTATGTTAACATCAAATTGCATTCTCCTTTTGATTCATTAAGTGCAGGTATCATGAAAAAAGCATTCTTTGAAGTCTACAGGGTTTGGGTTTTGTTAGTTTTTATGTTACATAATCTTCATTTCACAAGAGCAATTCTCACAGGCTAGGAACACAAAGCTTATATTGTATTAAAAGGGACCAACGTATCTTCAGTGCAGCCCTCAGTCTGTGGAAGCAGTGTAGGCCTTTGTGCTTTAAGGAAAGGGTAAAGAAACAGGACTTATCACTGCAAACGCCATTAGTTGCCTGATTCAGTATGTCTTTCTGGTCATTGCCTGAGAAGAAACTACTCTGCTTTGCTGATTATGCAATATTATATTTGGGGGATAGAGGGAAAGGGAATGAAAAGGTACCCTTGTAGATGTGTTTAAAACTTGAGTATTTACCTGAATGACTCTCTTGTCCTTATTCAGTGATCTATAAGTTTCTCTTATTAGGATCATTGCATCTTTCACAATGTTTCTGCTTCTGCATAAAATGGGTTACATATAGTGTGTTTGTTCAATAATGCCTTTATGTAGAAAGTCAGGGAAATGACCTTTAAAGAACAAAGTTAAGTATTAGTTTAATACTGAAGGAGGGTATTAAAAGGTTGTACGATACTTTCAAAACAAATTAGTAAAACATTTCTTTCATTTCTTTATAGATTCTGGACAACCAGGAAGTCCAAGCCACAATGATCCTGCCAAGAATCCACCAGGTAAATATAAGTTCCAGAACATGTGCATCTAACATTGTTTGAGAACAAAGATTCTACTGTTAATAGTTAAAGAGAGTATAATTGGTCAGAAACCTATTTTGCACTGGTAAGTACATATAATCAGGACAAGCTGTGATTATTTTAGTTCTTTTAAACTGGCAGTGCCTCAATTGTAGTTTCATCAACATTCTTTTAATCTAAGGAATTTTTCTTTCAGTTCATGGTTTTCAGAATTTTGTGAATGGGGATGGGCAGAGGAGTAAGGAGGCAAGATCCCAAATAACTTCACTTTCATAAAAGTCTTCAGGTGCTACAATTATTCTTTTATCTCAGACAAAACACAATTGACTAACCTCTAAAGTCTGTGACCTGAGCTACCAGCTTCTTTGCTTTTATTTTGTAGGTCCATTATAAAATGCAAATATGTTCATTTTTTTGTATTTTTTGGATCAGCTCAGAGCAGTTTCTGAACACGTTGTTAATGGGTCATGCTAGTGACATTTAGAATTATTTTGAGAGATGTCAAGGTAAGCAGTCCTTTAAAGAATTCTGTAAAAATAAAATTTAAAGAGAAAATCAAACCCAGACTTTGCCATTCCATGTTGTTTAGACCAAAGGTTCTTTGTATTTTCATGGAGTTATCCTTCTAGTCAATTGGGCTGTGCTAGTAATTCTTCTAAATCTTTGTTGCTGTATGAATTTTATTGGGGTAAGACAAACAAGTGTGACAGACATACTATCATTCTTAATGAGCAAGGAGTTATACTCCTGCCAGCGTTGTCGTGCTGTATCTTCTCATTTGCACTCAGAAGTGTCTATCTGCAATAAGCTGCAACTAACTCAGTTTACTTTTTCTAAATGCAAAAAGTACCGTGCTCTAACCAAGAAGTAATTGTGTGATGCTGTGCTGTTACATATACATGAATATTTTCTGGATGTGCCCAAACATTAGGGAAAACAGCCTGCCTTGTGGCTTTATAGTTTTGTACTATGCATACGGTCAAAGTATTCTCTACATGTGGTGGAATACGTCAGGTGTGTGTTGCATGTGAATACCCAAAAGAGGGAGAACCATCACAGATCGTTATACAGAAAGCCATATTCCAGTAGTACAAAACCCAGAAACAAACACTGGAAGGTTGCAGATATGTTTTAGAGATATGAGGGCAGAACAAGTCACATAACATTGTAAGCTCTTTTTCAAGTGATTTTTTAATGTGATTTTTTTTTTTTTTTTTTTCAAAGGGATGATGCAGGCTTGAAATAATGTTTGGCTGAAGACTTCCATGCTGTTTCTCTCCAAACTGTGTGGGATGTTATGTGTAGGCTTGTATTTCTCTATTAAATACATGACATAAATTATGTAGGATAGTGGTTTAAAAACCCAAACCAGCAAATTTACACCTAAAACAAGCCTGAAAAAATTCCTCACAGATAATCACAGTTTTGTAAAACTTGGAGCATTTTTTTTTCTTTTAGAACATCTCTGTAAGTGCAAGAAAACCCAAATGCCTTCATTACCCCTCGTAATTTTGAAGGATCCTTAGTAGCCTCTGGGTTTGAGAAGCTGAAGGCAGGGTCTGGAAACTCGCCTTCAACACGTTTTAAAATTCTGTTTTTAAAGTACCATTTAGCATTTGGAATAGGAAAGTCGAAGTATATATTTCACTAGTGAGGATCGCATCCTCTGGTGAGTCAGGTCTCACCAACCCTCAGTCTCAACCCCAGGCTGCTTCAGCAAGGAGTAATCTCGCTGCCAGCAACAGAGCCCTGGGGAGGGCAGCAGACGAGCTATATAGGCTTTCTTTTGGCAGCCTTGTGGGGCAAGACCAGATGCCCCAAATGTCTGACCAACTCGTGTCCCAAAAGGTAGAGGGAGATAGAGGGCAGAGAAATCTGTTGCTGGTTTCATCATGAAACTTTCTGCTTGAAATTTGAGCATAACACTTTCTTGTGCTTTGGAGTCACTCCTGGCAGTATTATTCCTTTATCTGCTGCCAAGTGGGGATGGAAAATGGAAGCTGTGTCTTGCTTCCCTTGAAACCCTTCATTTAAGCAGAGACAGAGGCATAATTGAATGTCATCTGTCTATTTGAGGATACATGAACTCCTAGCATTGTTCAGCTTCCCTGTGTGATACTGTCTTGGGGTTAAACTGGCAGAGAGAAAGCGTTGAGGTTTGTGGGACTGCAGAATACAGGACTTCAGGGCCTGTGCAGGAGAATGAGAGGGAGTTGCGCTCCATTCAGCTTGTCTGGGAAAAGGACTGCTGTCCTGTTCTTTCTTATTATACTTCACATGAGTCTTTTTATTAGAACCAGGCAGTCACTTCTCTCAGAGCCCCAGAGGATATCCACTCTGAGGTTTGTTTTCGATCCTAGGCCAGGAGCACGCGGACTGGCAGTGCCAGGAGGGTTTGTTCTTCTATCATGTTTTGGTCTGATGCCTGTATGTCAAGGAGCCAGGGTGCTGGCAAGGGATAGGTGCTGTTAGCTTTTGGATGCCACTACCTTCACAAAGACATTGCCAAGGAAGAGGAGGTTGGAAATTGAGTGGTAGTTGGCGAGGCTGCTGGTGTTAAAAGTGGGTTTTTCTAGGTTTGGCTAGACGGTTGCATTCTTTAGGGTGTCTGGTAATTTGCTGTCTTAACCGTGGAGGGAGGGTAATGTCATTTGCCAAACAAAAGAACATTAAGAGCACTTGCTGGAATTCTTTACAATACATTCCTAAAAATACACTGAATACTTTGAGAGCATAATACAGTATTAAGATGGTGTAGCTTGTGGTAAAAGTGGTATGTAGCTTTTGTAGCAAGATCCAGGGATATCCTCCTCTAAGTTTTATTTTTCAATAACTTTCATCTGGTATATTTCTAAAGAATGAAACGTGCTTTTCTGAGAGCTGGGTTGTAAAAGTCACTTCTCTGCAGGGATTGCTAAGTAGGTTCCAGACAGATAGATGACCTGAACGGAACTGAACTGAGGGGGGAGAAAAGTTTGAACACTGCTGTTGTCCACATCAGTCGTTAAGTTCCTGGAATCTGAAAGTTTATGTTTTGCTAGCACAGGGCTAGCTATTAAAAGTTTACATGGTTTCAAAGAGAGAATGGACGTGTCCATGGATCCATTGAGGGTGACTAAGCAAATAGAGGCACACCTGGATTAATAAGTTTTAAAACCGAAAATACTTGGAGCCTTGGACACTATCAGTCAGAAGAAAAACCCTCCCCTATTTCTTACTATTCTACTGGGCATCTGCTCAGGGCTACTGCTGAAGGCAGGTGGTTGAAGGAGACCTAATGTGGCAGTTTCAGTGTAATGCTATATTATTTGCTCCATGCAAGTCCCATAGGTCTTTTATATAGCTTAAGAAAATCTAAAAAATGAGTCCTCCTTAACATGTGTGTCTCAATACCTGCAAAGGTGTGCGAGGATATGTACTGAAGACAGAGGGAGTGATCTTTCAGTAAGTTCGTCTGTTAGGCGTAGGAAAATTATGAGGGCGAATAAAAAGACAAAAACATCTAGAACTACTAGTAAGCTGATGATATTGACCCCAGCCATAACATCTTGATCTTCAGTGATACAATCCTTACGGGACAGTTCTTCTAATAGAGGATTTTCTGGGTTTTGTTCTGCTTTATTTTACTTTCCTTTACTTACTGCCTGCTGGCCACAACTGTTTGACATTAATAAGGTTACTTGCTACCTGCCATTGTTGTGAGGTTGCTGCTTGGCAGACTTGGTTTATTCATACACCAGTGTGTTAACACTGCTGTGTCCAGTTGTTGCCATTTTGCTCAAATCTTTGAACACAGGCTTTCTAAGATCCTAAAATAAGAGTAAGAAACAGCAATACTGATAGAGTAAAATGTTATCTTGATATGACAATAAGATAGGATAGACAGTTGAATACAATTTGAGGAATCAAGAGAGCTGGAAACCTGAGAGAGTGATTACCAGTTCCTACTGGTGCTTTCTGTCCTTCATCTTTTGTCTTCTGGATGGAGCTGGGAGGAAAATAATCTCTTCTTGTACAGGTCCCTTCAAGATATCAGAACTATTCTTATCCGGCATTGGGGAACACAAAAGATAACTTTTCAGAAGGTGCAAAGGAAACCTCAGCATCCTAACATAGACACTTCAGAATCTCATTGGCAAGAGAAGACAAGTGTGTTCAGATTTTTGCTTGTATCCAAGCAGTGGAATTCAGAGGTTATTAGAGCTATGTTTCCTAGCAAGTGGGACCTGCTAGTTTCTTGGGGTTTTTTTTCTTTTTTTTTTCCCCTGATAGAATTTACTCTACTTTAGCTGGTCCAAAGAATATTTTCATATAAATTTTGCAAACTCTATAATGTCAGTCAGGACTGTATCAGGAATGCAAATGACTCAGGTTTGAGCCTGTGTGCTGATGAATATTACATTATTTATATGGGGTGACACACTTTTAGACACAGAGATTGAGAAACTGCATCTCCACCTTTCATTCCTCCCCACTGTTTCCCTTCTTCTTTTGTCCACAGTAACCCATTATGTGTTGTCAGGGAATTCATCTAATGATAAGATCCTTAATCTGAATGAGGCATAGGTATGTGAATCCCCAGCCTCACTGCTCTGGAATTGGTTTTCCCCTTCTATTTTCACCAGAAATTTTATTCTGGGAACCATTTCCAAAGAAGACCTGAGTGAAATCACCATCTATTAATTTTTTTTTCTTATTAAAGAAGGTGTTGCCAAAAAGCTTGCAACCAGCCTCACCTATCTCTCAATATGCAAATCTCTCTTGCAGCTGTAGAGCCCCAAAGGCTTTTTTTGTATTTTTGTATGGGCTAGCAGCCATAGGGAGGACATTCTTTCCGGATCAAGCCCTAAGAAATGTGTAATAAATTTGCCTATATATGACTGTTTTAGATAGGAGTATTCCAGTTTTAAATTTTAGAATATATAGTTTGAGAAGTAACCTCTGAAGAGTAAAGTGGTCTCAACCTTTGCTCTCTTTTG